TCCCTGCCAGCGCCTGCCGGCTTGCAGCCAAGAGTAAAGCTGAGCATCAGGTTTTTGGGATGATTTATTACTAGATCTTAAATTCAGTGGGAAAGTCTTGTCCAATTACGCCGGCAGCATATGAGTTTAGGTGCCCTTTTAAAAAGTTACAGGAAGAGAAGCTGAATAAGGACAGCTTGTAAGGCAAAGCCCCTTGGATAGTCTTGAGACGATCTTAGATTCGTGTAATTAGGACTTTGAATCATAGAATCATTGAGTTGGAAGTGGTCCATAAGCCCATTGAGTCCAACCTCCTGCTCAATTCAGGAATCCAAATCAAAGTAGATCTGATATATCGTTGACCAATTTTCTCTTGAATGCCTCCAGCTCTGGAGCACTCAACACCTCCCAAGATAATTGGTTCCATTGTCATACTGCTCTAACAGTTAAGAGTTTTTTTCTGATATTCAGCCTAAATCTGGCTTCCTGTAGCTTGAGCCCATTTTTATGTGCCCTGTACTCTGGGATAACCAAGAACAGACCTTGCCTTTCCCCTGTAGGACTACCTTTCAAGTCTTTGAAGATGTATGTGCCTTGTACTCTGGGATAACCAAGAACAGACCCTGCTTTTCCTCTGTAGGACTACCTTTGAAGTCTTTGAAGAGTGCTCTCCTATCATACCCTCAGTCTTCTTTTCTCAATGCTAAACATGCCTAGTCCTTTCAGACTTTCCTTCTAGGGCTTGGTTTCCAGTCCCCTGATCAACCTTGTTGTCCTCCTCTGAACTTTGGACCTCTGTGGTCGTGTCTTTCCCATTGCAGTCCAGGAATAAAGTCAGGAGATTTTTCAAAGATAAAGTCAGACGTCTTCTAGTTGTCAACAAGCTTGCAATGAACCCATGTCTGTAAAGATGAATCTTAACTTGTGACTGTAAAGCTGCCTGGAAATGTGAATGTGTGGGAAGGAAGATGAATGATTAGGTTCACCTCTAGGAAATGGACCACTGCCTTTATGAAATACCTTCCACCAGTTTCTGTTACTGATTCCTTGAGTCAGCTTGTGGCAAGACAGTGAAGTTGAAGCAAGAGCGCAGTCCTCAACCTTGGGCTATGCTGGTGGAAGCTGGTGGAAGCTGCAGTCCAAATCCAGATGGAAGATCCTACATTCCCCATTCTTGATGTAGACAATACTGTGACAGAACTCTGTCACAGGATTGTCTAGCTCCTTGGAAGGCAGTATTGGTTTTACTCGTCACTATCACAGTAATGTCTACTCCAGAGATATAACATGTGTTCAGATCAACACATGACACAATCCATAGGAAGACTCCTACTCAATGATTTCCTTGTGTATTGACAACACCATTCAGTAGCATATTCTGCACAACAGCCCATGTATTGTTTGTGACCTGCAGTCCACTTGTGTCCAACTTATAGTGATTTTCAAGGGAGTTAGATATTTAAGGAGTGGCTTTACCATTTCCACACACACCCAGTGAGTTTCCGTGATGGAGAAGGGATTTGAATCCAAATCTCTTTGAGTCCTAGGTCTGGCACTCTATCCACTGCTCCACATGGGGTTTCTATTAAGGTCGTGTATAGCGCAGAACTTGGCAAGGCCACATGGAAAGTTCTCTTGTATTTATAGATGACTTCTGGAAAGACCACATTTCAGCATGGTTTTAGCCATGTCTGAGAAGCTATTGTCTTCCAAAATTCTCCCTCCTCCTAACAATGAAAGTGTTGGCCTCTTTTGCGATTGGCTGCTGTAGGTATATGCAATGCTGGCAATATATGGTGAGAAATGGGATGTCACTGAAACCTTTGGTCCACTGGAACACATTATGTGCATCACTGCAGCTTCTGATGGGCTGTCCAGATAGGGCCAGCATTTCTACTTCTGAACCCTGTTTTCCACTGAGAAGGAACGGTTCTGGTTTTCACCCAGTTGTTGACTTCTCTTTGTTTGGCGCAGAAATCAGTTACTATATATAAAACCTGTGATTGGTCAGCACGGTAGAAATGCAAAATCTTTATCAAGGGCAGATTTCCAGTTGCCTTGAGTATACCCACTTGAAACAGCTCAGTTGCAATCCTGTGGAAAAGCGTTTCAGGAATTGAAATCAGAATGTCCCGCTCTCTCTCCTTCAGCCTTGATCAAAATTGTTCCGCTTCAGTTCCGCTTCACGTCACCCACGTTTCATCTTCACTTTTGCCTGCTTGTTGTGAGCAAGCTGTCGTGATGCTGGATTGGGCCAGATCTCATGAAGAAAGGCTCCACGGATCTGACACCTGGCATCGGAATGTTTTGCTGATAGTTATGAGATGTCTCCAAACATAATTCCATGCCGGACTGAAGTCTGAAGGAGAGAGGGGAAATTTCCTGCCTTATTGCAATAAACTCTGAGCTGCACTAAACACTTGACTGAGTGAAAAAAATATGGCATTATTGCAGTTCTCCTAAATACACATGTAAATCCTTAGTGGTCATGCTGCAACTTTGAAAATAAAAATTTAGTAGGGTAATGATTTTCCTACCAGAATCTGCAGAAAAAGCCTTATTTATTATTTAACTAATAAAAGGACTCAGCTTTGCATGACTGAGAAACCCCTTAATCCCTCTCCCCCACGATTGGAGTGTTGTGTGTGTTTGTTCCTTCACACACTGACTCAGCTCATCACTGATTATTTCTTTCCCCCCTAGGCAAGAATTGCACATTTGCAGATAACTCGCAGTAAGGTTTTTATCGCAACTTATCTGGAAATCGGAGTGAAACGGCTTGAAACACACATTGTTTTAATGCATGTATTTCATGCCGCTAGATGGTGGTGACAGCAGCCAAGGATCCCACTGGCAGCAGGATTCTGTCAGAGATTCTGCCTCTCCCACTGGGCTCCCCAACCACCACCACCAGCCAGCTACGGATTGGACAAACTGGAGTGTCCATAGGGGATGCCCTACTGCGCTTAAGCCTTTTCCCGCCCACATATCTGGGGATAGATCTACTTGTTCTTGTAAACCTGGCTCAGAAGGAAAACGGTTCTGAGGCTTTGAGGACTCTTAACTCCACTAAGTGCCTGTCAGCTTTTATTCTGTAGAACAGAGGTGGGGAACCTTGGTGTCTCCAGATGTTTAGACTTTAGTTCAGACCCACACAGCCTGGACAGTGATGCAACCCATGTCAGGTAACCACTCAATGCTGGTCAAGTTAATAAACAGGCAAGGCACCAGATTAAACAGTGAGAAAACATAACCCTTCTCAGGGTTCATTTTTTTTTCAGACCTTCGGTGTCTGTACAATCAACATAGAATGGAATCCTGTGTTGACTTCTCGTTGATCGATCGCAGAACAAAAGCTAGCTAATTTGCAGCATGTGGAGCTGCGAAACCACATGGTGTGAGAAACAAGTGGCCTTTAACTATCAAAGAGAAGTACGCTTTTTCTTGTGAAGCTGATGTCTCATGTTTCTCCCCCTTCGTTTTATACCTGAGACTGAAAAACCCACAACCACCTTTTCCAGTCTCCCTTCCACGGAGAGAAAATCCAGTAACTGTAAAAGAAGAAAATGACCAACAATTGCTTCGCAAAGCTGCCACCCACTCCCTGCTGGCCACAGCCCTTGTTTTGTCACATCACTGCCACGAAAATGCTTGCTTCTCATCTGGTTGTTTGGAGAATGCATGGTTCTGAGAGGGTCTTCCAATTTTGTTGAAATTTTTGTGTCCACACATCCAGAATTCCTTGGTCTCCTTCAGCCAAGTGTTATTCAGATAGCTGGCCAAGAAGAGGTCACACTTTTTAGGCAGCCCAAAGCAGAAAGGGCTATCCTGTGTCAGTGGCTGCTTTGTTGCAGAGTTTTGAATCTTTGGTAAATTCTTGTAGCCGCTCAGCAAAAGTGCAGGGATTTCCCAGAGCAGAGCAGCTTCAAGGTTTCCAACTTAGCATTAGCATTAACTGGCACTTATCGTCTCAATAATTCAGTCTTGAGACATTAGTGGCTGAAAGAATAAAACATGTTTCCTTACTTGCAGTTTTGAACAGATCTATGGCAAAAAGGGCCGTGGTGGCGCTAGAGGGACGTGGTGGCGCTGCGGGCTAAACCGCAGAAGCCTGTGCTGCAGGGTCAGAAGACCAGCAGTCGTAAGATTGAATCCACGCGACGGATTGAGCGCCCGTCGCTTGTCCCAGCTCCCGCCAACCTAGCGGTTCGAAAGCATGCAAATGCAAGTAGATCAAAAGGGGCCACCTCGGTGGGAAGGTAACAGCGTTCCGTGTCTAAGTTGCACTGGCCATGTGACCACGGAAGATTGTCTTCGGACAAAACGCTGGCTCTATGTCAGTCTTGAGACATTAGTGGCTGAAAGAATAAAACATGTTTCCTTACTTGCAGTTTTGAACAGATCTATGGCAAAAATAATAAGCATGGCTGATTGACTTCTAGCAACAGACCTCAACAGACCCACTGACTGTCAACAGACAACAGGGAGCGCAGGGGGGAGGCTCAAGAGCAGAGAGGCAGAGCTCTTTTTGAAATTCAGAGGCAGGAAAGGAACAGTTGGTTATTACTGGGTAGATTGCAAGTCACCCCAGCCCAGAAAGGACCCTCCCAGCCTGAACTACTAAAGGCAGCATGCGAGGTTGCAAAAAACAACTATAACATGCTCTACCTCCCCCCTTTTTTTCTGTGGCATGCAGGGGGTACTGCCTTCTGCTTTTGGCTGCTGGCCACCACTTCTTCCTTCCCCCTCCCTTTGTTGTAAGCAGTGCCACAGGAGGGGACAGTGCTTCCCTTCTTGCCTTGCATGGCTGGAGACTTTACCACCGCCGAGTACACAGTCCGAAAAAAAAATGGCACCAAGGATCATTTTTGTGGCCATTAAGTGTTGGGTTTCTCATCACGTTATCACTTCTGCTTCTCATTTCCTAGTGTTTGGGTTCAAGAAGAAAGGAATTAAATGAAAAGAACTACGTTATCCTGGAAGGAATGACATTAATCCCTTTCTGTTTTCTTTTCTTGCAGAAGGAAGGAGGTGGATATTCTGAAGACCAAATAATGCATATGTCAGCAAATAAAAAGACGTGGGGAAATTGAAAGAATTTGAACAATGCAAATTTATGCCATGGAGCTTGCTTGAAGAGGAACGAGTCTCATTTGAAAGTGTCTTCTGATGGAGGAATAGAGACCTGGTTCCCTATTTAAGAATGTGTGGCAGAATTTCATCAAAGCCTTGTGAAGCTATTGGTCTCGCACAGAGAATTTCTAACTGACCAAATTTATTTCTAGAAAATACAACATTTTGGTTACACACACAGATTTCTATCACAGAAGATCCATGATCTAGGATATATACGTGGATGTCTGTGTTACATTCCCAGAAGTAAAACTGGAATGAGGATTTAGAAACACGGTGAGGTCAGTTGTCAACATATTGCAGCAAAACCCATCACTAAATTGAGTCATTATATTCCATTTATTAAAATTACATCTCTGTGTCTTCTGATCCTTGTATGAATTAATGAATCAGTGCTTTTAAGTTTGCAAATTTCTGCAGGAGAGTTATATTTGAATCTACCCCATGCACTTGCCTCTTGTACCTCTGAATGTCTGAAATTGGTCTCCTTTGCAACTATGAGCTTCAAACAAAGAACCTCTTCACAGATTTCCATTTGTACCAATGATGAGCTGTCTTATTTTAAACCATACTGGTGAGCGGAAGGTTCAGCATCTTTACTGCAGTTTTATTACATAGACACAGAGGGAGCTGACCTTGCCATGGCAGAGAAGTGTGATTACATCGCAAACATGTATGGTTATGACTTGGGTTGCCGTTTCATCAACTTCCGACCTCTGGGCTTTGGCGCGAACGGGCTTGTCCTGTCGGCAGTCGATAGCAAAAGTTGCCGCAAGGTGGCTGTGAAGAAGATCGCCATCAGTGATGCACAGAGCATGAAACACGCCTTCCGGGAGATCAAGATAATCCGCCGGCTGGACCATGACAACATTGTGAAGGTCTACGAGGTGCTAGGGCCAAAAGGAGCAGACCTTCAAGGGGATTTGTTCAAATTTAACATGGTGTACGTAATCCAGGAGTATATGGAAACTGACCTGGCCCGCCTGTTGGAGCAGGGACCACTCTCTGAGGAACACGCCAAACTTTTCATGTATCAGTTGCTTAGAGGCTTGAAGTACATCCATTCAGCCAATGTGTTACATAGGGACTTGAAGCCTGCCAACATCTTCATTAATACGGAGGACCTGGTATTGAAAATTGGCGATTTTGGTTTAGCAAGGGTTGTGGATCAACATTATTCACACAAGGTATGCCATTTCATTTGTTTTTCTACTCTGTTCTACACATGTTGGAACCCACATAGAGATTTCCAAATCTAAATAATGCTTAAGCTTTAGGAAATTGGCTCAAACCAATAATCCAGTATAATAATCCAGGCAGTGCTGGGGAATCTGCAACTCTCCAGATGTTGTTATACTATACAGTGCTGCCTCGCAAGACGATTGCCTCATAGGACGATTAATCCGCAAGACAATGGGTTTTTGCGATCGCTGTTGTGCTTTGCAAAACGGTTTTTCCTATGGGCGATTTTCGGTAGAAGATGTTTGGGTCCATGCTTCGCAAGATGAGTTTTTTTTCGACCGATGCTTCGCAAAGTGGTTTCCCCCCCCCCATTGGAACGCATTAGATTTCAATGCATTCCAGTGGGGAACCGCATTTCGCAAGACAGGGTTTTTTTAGACCGATGCTTCGCAAGATGGTTTCCCCCCCCCCATTGGAACACATTAAATAGATTTCAATGCATTCCAGTGGGGAACTGCGTTTCGCAAGATGATGTTTTCTTTGGACGATTTTCGCAAGAGGATGACCCCCCCATTGGAACGCATTAAATAGATTTCAATGCATTCCAATGGGGAACTGCGTTTCGCAAGATGATGTTTTCTTTGGACAATTTTCGCAAGACGACGATCCCCCCCATTGGAACACATTAAATAGATTTCAGTGCATTCCAGTGGGGAACTGCGTTTCGCAAGATGATGTTTTTGCAAGACAGCGATTTTTGCGGAACGAATTAACATCGTCTTGTGAAGGACCACTGTAACTCTTAGCATCCAAACCACTGCTATACTGTGGCATAGATGGCTGTCTTCCTTCCCACTTTATCCTTAGAACTGTTGCAGAGTTTTGAATTCCTACTAAAATTCCTTTTGCCATGCAGCAGAAGTACAGAATTTACAGAGAAGAATAGCTTCAAGTTCCACAGAGTTCACGTGTTTCTCATTTACTGGCATGTAAGGTCTCAATAATTTACTCTGAGACATTTGTAGGAGAAAGAATAAAAATATTTCATTACTTACAGTTCTGAACAGATCAGTAACAAACAAGAAAACAGACTGATTCCAACAGAGTAAAGAGAGGGACACAAAATTGAGATAACAAACAAGAAAACAGACTGATTCCAGAGTAAAGAGAGGGACACAAAATTGAGAGGTGGGGCTCTTTCTGAATTAAGAGGAAGGGAAGAAATGATTGGTTAGTGCTGGATAGATTGACAGTCACCTCAGCCCAGAAATGTGCTTCCCAGCCAATCCCACTAAAGGCAGCATTTGAGGTTGCAAAAATTCCCAGCAACAATAACCGCCTGAGGTAAGTTGGGCTGAAGATGTGACAGGTCCAAGGCTACCTAGTGAGTTCCAGGGATGAATCAGAAATTGAATCTGGACCTCCTAAATTCCAGTTCAATGCTCTAACCACTAAACCGCACTGCCTTGAGAGTTTTATCCGCTGTATTGGAAAATTCCATTGCTAAAGCTGTGCAGGAGGAATGTTTTGTTAGCAATATCTTTGACCATTCCACCCCATCATGCAGAATTTCCCAAGACAAAAGGAACAGATGGTACAGAAGGAGGAATTTAAAGTATGCTCAGCAATTGGGCTGTGGCATTTCCTTCTAGATACTACTGTAGTTTGTTTGGGATTTATCACTAACATGCCTCCCCTTTGCCAATGAATAATAATAAAAAAGTTCCCCTGCAATGCTGAATTCCAGGAGGTGCGTGTCTCTATTTGCACAGGTTGGTAAGAAAACTGTGCAAAGCCCTGAACTTTGGGGTCTTTCTACTCAGGCTTTCAAAAAATTGGAAAATTCGGTAGCCTTTTGGTACTGATGGTTCACGGCTACTTAAGCGTACAAAAATGGGATAGCATGACTGCAGTATTTGTGTATCTTCTATATAAGGATCAGAAGGAACCATGAACACTAGTATGCTCACAGTGATGCTATGAGATAGGCTAAGTTGAGAATGTATGGTTGGGTCCCAGTCACTCTGTTTTTTGCAGGGCCAAATGTATGTAATGGAGACCCAGGTAGGCTTAGAAAAACTGAACAAAGCCAAAAGCCATACAACAAGAAGACATTTTACTTTTCCCACCCCGAGAGGTTATTTTTCTATTCTCATGTATTACTCTTCCAGCTTGTGCAAGCATCTACCATCTTCAAATGTAATCAAGTTTCACAGGCCAGATTATTTATTTATTTATTTATTTGGCCTATAGACTGCCTGACTTGGTGAAATCAATACTTGGGGCAGTCTACAGAACGTAAAACAAACCATGCAACCAAAATTAAAAATAATTCAGAAGAAACGCCTTCAGTGACACAATCAACTGGTATTTAAATAAGTCAAAAACGACGACCCACAGCTGACCCCGGATATTAAGAACTCAAACCAAGTTACAGAGCCATGACAGAAAAAAAAACCCAGTGTCATGTATACCAAATAATACATAACAAATAGTAAAATTTTATTAAATCCAAATCATACGTGGAGGTCGTGAAAGATTTACATTGAATGTTGCCATAGGTTTTTCCTATTCTGTCTTTAGCAATCTTATGAAAGACTGTGATCTGTATCATCTCCAAAGGAAGTCTGTTCCAAAAAGAGGAGGCTACTCATTAATATGCCCAGTTCCTAGTGGTGGTTTCCTTACTTCCGTGTAGACACTCCTCCGTAATTTATTTTATTTACAATATTTTTTAGCCGCGCCATTACCAATTGTCTTTGAGCGGTGTACAACAATATTAACACTTTAGAAAAACACTAAAACCACTAAAAATACCAATAATATAATAATACCCTATATTAAAACAGTCAATTTATCATTAATAGATTCTGGTGTTCATACAGCCAGCTAAAGGATACTATTTAATTAAAATGGCGCCAGAAAGCCAAAAGTGTTGGAGCCAGGTGGCTCTCTCTAGGGAGGGTGCTCCAAAGTTGGGGGGCAACAGCCAAGAAGGTCCTATAATGAGGCCTGAGATGAAGAGGTTGATCGGATACATGCTATATTCCAGCATGCTGACTGGAGTCATAGGTGTTATTTCAAAGCCACTGTTAGTAATCTTCACAAAAACTTGGGCAACTGTTAAAGTGCTAGAAAACTGAAGAGGGGCAAATATTTTCTTTGTTGTTAAAAAAAAAAGTGGGTTGAAAGTAAAGGCAGTTCCAGTACAGTATAAACTGGTCAGACCGATAGAAATATCAGACAAAATTCTAAAACGTTCTTAAATAGATGTCACATTGCATCAGAAAATAATGCATTGATTGCTAGGAGTCAACATGGGTTCGTCAGGAATAAATCACGCCGGACTAAAATTATCTTGTTTTTTTGTTTTTAATCCAGGTACTCTAGTGATTTGGCCCAGACAGTAGCTGCTTGTAATTTCATTCTTGGCCACAAATGGGCTTTTATGTTGCCCGGCCTGTTTTTTTCTTTTCTTTTCTGAGGAAATAAGCTCTTTTGCCAGATGAAAACTTGTTACTCTTTAATGGGAAAGAGGAGTGAAAATTGGAGGGAGAAACAATGATAATTTAAGACATGCGGGTGACTCACATCATTGGCAAGAAATAGCAGTGACCTGAAGTGATTTCTAGCGAAGGGTAGAAAACTGCCGGTGAACATTAAGAAGACAAAAGTAAGGACTGTGAAGCAGTAGAATAGTTTTTATGTTGACAATGAAGGAGGCAAAATTGTTAAAAGATTTTCTACACTTGAGCTCAGTCGTTAACCAAAATGGAGAGTGCAACTCATACAGCGAAGGCTAATAGAAATGCGGAAGGACAGCCATGAAGGAATGAAGGAAAAAAATTTGTGAGAGCTAGGATGCGCCATTGGAGACCAAAGTGAAGATCATTCAGATTGTGGTACAGTGGGGTCTCGACTTACGAACGGCTCGACATACGAATGTTTCGACTTACGAACCGCTCTCATAGGAATATATAGACTCGACTTACGATCTTAGATTCGAGTTACGAACTCATTTTTTTCTTTTTTTTAAAAGCTAAGTCATCTTAGGTTAAAAGGAAAAAAAGAAAAAATATCCCCCTCTAGTGGGAAATGAAGGAAAAAAATTCGTGAGAGCTAGGATGCGTCATTGGAGACCAAGTTGAAGATCATTCAGATTGTGGTATTCCTGATTATGAAGTATGGGTGCAAATACTAGACCGTGAAGAAAGCTGACGTAAGTCGAGACCCCACTGTATTCCTGATTAAGAAGTATGGATGCAAATACTAGACCGTGAAGAAAGCTGACAGCGAAAAATTGATTACTTTGAAATGTGGTCTTGGTGGGGAGTCTTCTGGTTGTTAAGTACCAATGAAAGACAGACATGTTACAGGACAAGACTCACTTGAAAAATACAGTTATACTGTATTAGGAAAAATGGGAGGCAGCAGGACTAGAGGACGAACATGGGTTCAGCTGACGCAAAGGAAATGACATCCCCTAGTTTGCAAGATTTGAGCAGGGCTGTTAAAGATAGAGCCTTTTGAAAGTCAATTGGAGGGGTTGCCATATGTCAGAAACAACTTGGAGGCATGTAACAACTCATAAGTCTTTAAGATTTTTTTGCGGTTTTGCTGCAAAGACTAACAGGTCTCTCCGCCCCCAAAATTGTCCTTAAATTAATATGTCGCCCCAGATATTTAGTTCTCTTCTATGTGAAGCATGTACTAGTACTGCAAACGTCCAGATGAGTGGTGTCGGTTGCTAGCATAACTGATGGCGTAACTGCAGCTGATAATCCTAGCATAAAAGTGCTGTCACTATATTCAGGTTATACAATTCAGGCTATAAAATTAAGGCTTTTGTGTTTGACCAAAGGCAACAGAGGCTGAAATCCTGTTGCTTCGTGTTTTAAGTCATGCCAGTGTAGGCCCACTGAATCAGTGGGCTGTTGGTGAGCCAGCTCCTCCATGAATTCCATTGATTCAAATGCACCTACTCTATTACACACATGTTGGTCTT